AAAACTGATCTAGGTCCTATCGAAATTTCGATAGCATTTCTCCTAAAAGTGGGATTATCTACCTGCTTAAATATCAGCAATATTATATACATCAACCATTACACACACAACCCATCCATTGGGCAATCAAATAAATTAATTTCCCTTCCTCCATATCAAGTAATAGTATAAATATTTAATCACAATACTAAACTTTAACTATTAACAATCCAAGCTTTACTATCTAAGGTTAAGCCCATACATAAAATAACAAATAAATGAAAATAAACATTTACTTAACCACCACATTCTACTGGTTTAAAGTATCCATATATATTAAGTTAGTTAATATTCATATAATTCTTATCCAAATACATATACCTTTAATAATCTTATGCAATTATAATTCATAAACTCTTTTATCTTGATTATTAACAAGGAGGATCTCATAATTGAATTTAATGATCTACGAATCATCTTCCTCACCATACATGATCATAGCTAACAAACCCATTTTAATCGTCTATCAAATATAAATAAGCATTTATATATCAACCAATATAGAAACTTGGAAATATACTCACTTATATATTTTTGTTGTTCTAAAACAATGCAAAGTCTAAGGTCATTGCTGCCAAAATACAAAAATTCATAGCTCTTCTATACTAAAATCATAGATTACGCAACAACTAACCCACCTTGCAAAAATTGAACTTACAACCTCATTCTTAGCTTTGATTAGTCAAAATTTATAAGGATCAATTTCATAACAGCTGAGTCAAAATTTATAAGGATCAATTTCATAACAGCTGTCAATTCGCAAAAGAATTAAGTTTTTCTATCTCAAAATCATGGATCACACCAACTAACTAATTCCACGCAAAAATTAGATTTACAACCTTAATTGTACCATGTCAAACCAAAAATCAATAGAAATAATTGAAGATAGCTGCTGCCAACCTAAGCAAATCAAGGTTTCTCGATCAAAATCCATATTCAAAATCCCATATTATTAAACACTAGTTAACTCATTTACCAACAAAACTTAACTTATTCATGTCAAATGCCTCATATCAAGCAGAAATTTAAGGCAAATAAAAGCAGAAATTTTAAGCAAATAGCTAGGTTGGCTGCTACCATATCACAATCATTCTAATTTCTTTCATAGGACCTACAATAAACACCCTAACTTACACATCTCCTTGAAAAATGCAGTCATAATGTCAATTAATAGTCAAAAATCAGATTTTTCCTCGTGTGAATAGTGTTTCAGGAACCTAGCATTTCTCATTCATGATTCTAACAACCCTTTCCTCAAATGAGCTATTGAATAAGCTAAATAATTGAAGGGAAAGGGATCATATAGAGCTCACCAAGGTTTTGAATGCGACTTTACCTACTACGCGCTGTGATCGCAGTTTCTTGGTTCGCTGCGCCAACCGGAACGGGAAGGAGAGAGTGAAGAAGAGAGATCGAATCTTCTTCCTCGACAATAATGAATCGACGCCGCCGGAAAATCATGCAGGAGGGGCCCGACGCGATCTTCCGATCGAAGGATGTCGCGGCTCTCCTGCACCTCCTGCGTACGCCAGAGACGAAAGAGAGAAGGGAAGGGAAGCCGGGATCCGCTGCGACGTGGACCCGCTGCGACGTGGATTGGCGATGGCGAGGTAGGCGCCGGCGTTTGTCTTCGATTCGGAAAGAAGAGGAGGTAGGAAGAGGAGTCGCGCGCTTGGTGCTGCCGTCGCAAGGAAGAAGAAGGTAAATAAAAAAAAGAAAAAAAAAAGGAAAAGAAAAGAACAATAGAAAAAGAAAAAAAAAAGGAAAAGAAAAGATAAAAAAATTCCTTTACGCTTCTTAGACACCTTCCGCGTTCGATTCGAAACCGGTTTGTCTAATTTCAATGATTCGTCTCGACTTGCCTTGCGTTTTCGGAGTTTATACAAATTGGTTTATGGCGGTCCAGTTTAGCATAATAACAATACTAAGGGCTGCGTATGATTTACAATTGGTTGAAATAAAAAAAATTAGTTTTTAAATGAAAAAATTTCTACGAAAATTAAATTTTCGGGCCTCAGTTTCATAATCCACACTCATAATGGATTTGAAAACCAAATTTTCAAATTAATTTTCATAAGTTCAAATTTGTAATCGATGGAATTTGAAAAAACCACACTACTATTCGCCCTACACTACTAGCTGGTATGATTTCATTGGTTGAAATAAAAAAAATTAGTTTTTAAATGAAAATTCTACGAAATTAAATTTTCGGGTCGTTTCATAATCACACTCATATATGGATTTGAAAATTATTTTTCAAATTAATTTTCATAGTTAATTTGTAATCGATGGAATTGAAAAACAAAGCTACTATTCGCTAACAGAATAAAAATATTTTTATTTCAACTATGGACAAATACTAGATCATCTATCCATGAATTTAAGCTATAACTGCAAAATAAATTATACTAACAAAAACCTGCGCTCATTTATAGCAAATAAAAGCAGAAAAGGAAAATAATTGTGACCATAATAAATTAAAAAGACAACTGCTAGATGCTCACTAAGGTCCTTAATACTCACCACAGTTGTCCTCTTAAATTAAATCTGAAATACCTTTTCTTCCACCAATCTTTACGGTGCAATGATAGTGCTTTTCATTTGAAAATAATATGATTAACTGATTTATTCTTATATTTTAAAAATTACACTATTTTATCTTTATAGTTTATTTATGTTAAACAAAATTATTCTTTTCTTTGTTAACGGATTTAAATTATATGGATAAAATATTGTAATTTGTAAATCATAAGGACAAAATAGTAATCATGTCAAAATATAGAGATAAAAATATAAATTTTTTTCTTTTAATTCATATATGTAGGATTAGTTCTGTAATTTCACTAGCACTTAACGATTTAAATGTCAAATAATAAATGAAAGGATAATTTCGGTTTGCAGGATTCAAGCTATAAAAATAAAATAATATAATTTTTTAAAATACAATGATAAATAAATAATTATATTAAATTATAGGGATAAAAATATAATTTTCTCTTTCCTTTTTATCTTTAGCGCTACAACTACTACTGCCTCTGCCTCCTCACATTAGTAGAAAGCAACTGCCCATCCGCCTAACTAATTCAAAATTTAAAACAAAGCAAATCCACGTCATTTCCTTTCTCTTTCTCTCTCGACTTCCACGTCACATCCTCCTCCTCACCTTTCTTTTCTTCTCTTTGCTTTTTCCTCTCCTGCTCACGTTTCCAAGAAAACAAACAACATTTCTTTTTTATTTTTCTCCCAAGACCAAGACCGCTTATTTTTTATTTATCATGTAAGATTATTATTACTATTAGACTGGTGGTGGTGCTTTTAGCCATGAACACCTTGAATAAGATATGTACTTCACTGGCGGTTGTTTTCGCGGTCTCTTTGGCGATTTTAGTGGCTCAGATTCTCTACGTGCTCTGGCGCCGGAGAACATTTGGTAACCGGAGTCTAAGCAGCGGCGAATTTAGCAGTGAATCTTTATATCCAACGCCCTCAAAAGAATTACTTTACTTCTTCTGCTGGAAGAATCAGGCGTCTCGTATTGAACCTGATGCAGAAACAACAACGGCGGCACCGGATGCTCCGCCGATTACGTCGTCAGCGCATGTTGATGTGGATGTGGATGAGTTGCTGAAACGGCATGCACTGTATGGACCGTCTAGGGTTTTATTCACTATAAAAGAAGAGGAGAGAGAGGAAATGGAGACGGAGCTGTCTTCTTCTGCAGAGAAAGAAGAGAACAAAGTTAACAGGAAGAAGAAGACGAGAAGTGTTTCTTTAGAAGAGATTGTTGCTGTTGCTATGATGATCAGCGCTGACGATGCGACGCCGTTTTCTACTCCGTGTGCTTCGCCTCCGTACTATACCCCGTCTCCCTCGCCTTCTCGTGATAGAAATTTGCCACAAGCATCGGTCGAGGATCCAGACGGCGTCGTTCTACAAGGCGAGTACGATGTGCAAAGGGAACCGGAGAAAACGTTAGACATTTCCGATGGCAAAGCGATGCCGTTTGTTAATATAGAGATTCAACCTTTATAGTGCATAACTGCATATGATATACAGTAACAATCTGAAATCGTTCTGCCGTTTATGACTCGCCGGCGTAATCTTCGACAGTTTTTGTCATGTACGTATATCGCTATTTTTCTTTTCTTAAAAAAAAAAACAGGAAGAAATCTAATTTTTCCTGACAGGTATTGGTAACTAGGGACCCAGTAGTAAGTGAGTTCCGATCATGCCACGTTAGTGTCAATTAACAAAATAGTAGCGTCATATGAAACGTGGCAAGATCAGACGGTGGGAGGACCCTGTTGACCGACGTTGGGGAAGTGACTCAACGGAGTTGTACATTTATTTATTTGATGGTAAGAAAGGGGTGTAGAAGTAGAAGTATTCAAGTAGGAAGTAAATTTTCTTAGCCGTTGACGTTACGTAAATGTGTCAGTAGCAGACTAAAATAAAATTTTCTACTGGAAAAAAAATATAAAAAAAATTCCTGTATAAAAGTAGTAGTTGGGGTTTTTGAAGTGAGCTAATGATGATGGATAATTACGAGCCTTTATTGCTCCTCATTAATTATACTATAAACTGAGTTACCAAATCCAAGTGACCAAATTAACGATTTATTGATTATGTTTTTGTTAACAGAGAATTTAATAATTTTGGAAGTTGCTAATGCCATAAGATGGGCCATTGCTATGTAGTACTGTCAAAACAGGCAGCCCGGATCGGGCTGCACAGGGCTTGGTCCAAAAGCTCGTTAAAAAACAGATTTTCAATGTACAGATTTGGCCGGCTCTTAACGGGTGTATCGATAGACCCGGATATGTCTATTTTAAAAAAAAAAAAAAAAATTTGTGTTTTTTTATTTATTTTTCGGATTCTTTTTTTTCAACCCAAAAATCCAAATTTAAAATTAATATTATTACAATCTGAACTTAAAATTCACAATCATAATAAAATAATCTAAATTTAAAATCAACAACAATTCAAAGCATGAAAAATATAATTGATGACCATCAATCAACATCATCATCCCCCAAAACAATTACATTTGAGCCATCCGTTGACTAGGCCCATTTTAACAGTATTATTGCAATGTTTAGGCAAGCATACAATTTAAAGTAAATAAGCTAGAAAAATAATTTAATTAGAATTAATTATGTTATTAGGTAATGAGTCATAGCATTTGGTGCTGCCACATAATTTCAGAAAATTTACTTAGAATTAGCTTGGTAGTCTATTTTGGCCCTTGTCATCGGTGAGCTTTAACATTATCTGTTGTTTAGTACTCTCTCTCTCTCTCTCATTTTTTTTGTATTTTACTGTTATCTTCACTGATAAAATAACTACTTTTTATAATTTTCTCCCTTATTTCTTCCTCCTATTTTTAGTTGCAAATTAATGGAGAAACAATTATTGAAATTAGAAATAAAGGATAATTTAATTAAATTAATATTTTATTAATAATTTAGTTGATTTAATTTATTTTTTAATTGTCATGCATACTTTAAATTTATAATCTATATTGTATATAAATGTGAGAATAGAAGGAAATAATGAAATTTTCAATAGCGCTCTCAATGAAATTTGAACATCTTAAAAATAACTTTAGTAATTATCAATTAGAAAATTACATTTTATTAGTTGATTTGATATAATTTATTAAAATTATTTTTTAAATGAATACATATAGATAATTAAGCATTCAAATAATTTTAGGATTTTAATTCTATTGGTTGAAAATAAAGGTAGTTTAATTTTGATTGGTTATATTAATTTGTTGGTTGTCATCAAGTTGAGTTTTTTCAATAGAAAATTCCCTTAATATCTTTATAAAATAATTTTCAAGAAAAATATTTTCCTTAAAAAATATTTCTCAAATGACTTATTTTCTATTTTTTTATTACAATATTGAAAACTAGTTAAAATATTAAAATTTTTAACTAATAATAATAATAATAATAATAATAATAATAATAATATAAATTTCATATTTTAAAAAATTAAAATTATTAACTACATAATAATAATAATAATAATAATAATTAATAATAATATAAATAATATAAATTTCATATTTTAAAAAATTCTATTGTTAAATATGAGAATAATATAAAAAATAGTAAATTATGGAAGTCGTTGGTGACCGGTGGTGGTGGTGAATGGTGAAAGGCAAGTGGTAGTAGTGGCTACTGATGATTAATAAATTAAAAAAATATAGATTTATAAAATTATAATAAGTTTATCAAAGTTCGAAAAATATTTTAAACTCTTAAAAATGAGAAATCATTTTCTTTAAAAATTACTTAATTTTTATTTGACTATGAAAATATTTTTTATTGACTTATTTTCCTGAATGCTCCCAAACAGCGGAAAATTATAGAAAGTATTTTCTTGTAAGTTATTTTATGAAAACAAATCAAGCTTTAGATGCTCAAAATATGTTGTACTAAATGATTTATTAAAATTTAAATAAATAAACAGTTATCTATAAGTCATAAATATAAAATTTATCTATAAGTCATAAATATAAAATAAAAAATACATCTTTAAAAAAAATATATAAAATACAAAATACTCCGTCCGATCTCAACAAATAGTCTCATTTCTTTTGAACCATAACATTTATCCTTACTTTTTCATATATATCCCTATATTAATAATTTTTTAATTAAAATTTGAAACTATTAATAAAATTTTTCAATAACAAATTAGTAGTTCGGCACATTTTCTAATTACTTTATATAAAAATTTAGTAATTCTATGTATATTAATTATTAACACAAATTATATTATAGGGGTATTATAAAAAAGTTAGCACAAAGACCATTTCCAAAAAATGAAAATGGAAGTATTATTTTAGGACACCTGTTATAGAAACTGGAACTAATTTTTTTCAGACGAAAGGAGGACTGAAATTCTTTCTTCAATATTATTAATTAATTAAATTCTCGATATTAGTATCATTATTAAAATTCATGCATGTTCTCTATCTCTAGCACAACCAATTTCAAAAATAGGTGTTGATTAATGAAAAATAGGATTTTTTTTTTTTTGAAAGTTTCTCACATTTTGGGATTAGCCAGCTAAAACATATTTAAAATTAAAGGTTCATTATTAGGGTGAAATTTTAAGAAATGGTAGAATTATGAGAATATTTTAGTTTTGAAAGAAAATAGGAGACTTCTAATTTTTGACTCGCAAGGGAAGTTTACATCTTCCAACCTTGGAAGCCAACACACGACATTGGATGTTGATCTTATCAACAAAAAAGCCGTGTACGTACGTAAATCAATGCAATAAATTTACTATATGATTATTAATTAATTAAAAAAAGGAAAATGAACAATTTTATAATTTAGTGTCTTCATATTAGATAATTAAAAAATAAGGAAATACTTGAGTGATTTATATAGATATATATAGATGGGAAACAATTAATGGAACTGATGGCTATATAGATAGAGTTCTTTAGGTACGTGCACGGCTTTTTATTGCAGTAAAAATGAATTGATGGAGCATTTTATTCTTCTTAATTCGGCCAATTGGGTTCAGTGAATATATGTTCGGTTAAAAATTCAGTTAAAAAAAATTAAAATTTTGGTGATCGATTAAAAATTCAGTTAAAAGTTAATTTAACCGAATTAATTAAATTAACTAACTCTTAAAACTATATTGTTTTGATTAAGTAGATAATAAAATTAAAAATTAAAAATTAAAAATATTTTAGTTTTTATTTAAAAATTAAAAATATTTTAGTTTTTATTTTGCTTAAATAGCAATTAATAACTTCAATTAATTTCTATTTCGGTTAAAGTCGGATAATCATAAATTTCAGTTAAATTCAGTCGATTAATTAAGTTTTCATTTTTTTAACTTCGGTTTGATTGATGATCAAAATCAATTCGGCCAAAATAGTTCAGTTAAAAACTAATTTGGTTAAGTTAAAAAAATTTCAGTTAATTTATTTCGATTAAAAATTTTACTCAAATCGATCAAATTGACCAAATGCTCACCCCTAGTACTTACAATGTATAATCATTATATAGATATTTATTAAAACTATAGTTGAAATCGGATTATATGATTTATTATAAAGAGTTAATTAAATATAGAATAAAGGAAAATGATACATGAAGGGTATTGTATCTCTTTTTTTTCTTAATTGATAATTTTGAATTCATAATTATGTATTAATTTAAACATTTTAAAATTGATATTTATTATTTTACTATTGCACATGAAATTATGCATTTCTCATATTAAATAGATTAAAGTTACTGCATGTTTTGTAAATTTGATAGAAGAAATTATGTTTTATAGATTTTTAATTTCTATTCAAGTGTTGGAAAGTTTGATATTGGTATTCTTGTTAAATTGAAGCAATGCATTAATTTGTAAAAATCAAAACAAGTTCAGGAGTTAAATTGACCAAAAAGGTCAAATATGACATTTTCAATCATTTTAAAAAAGTTCAAGGAAATTTGATTTTTTTAATTTCGCTAAATAAGTTTAAGAACCAAATTGACCTTATTCAAAATATAAACTGTTTAAGATATTTACATAAGATTTAAGGAAATAATTAATTCTTTTAAATTATAACAAAACTAAATATAATTTGATCAAATTACCATTATCTCAAAACTAAGGGTGACATGCGAAAATAGTAATTTTATCAAATATAAATGAGAGTAAAATTAAAAAATCATTTTATTACTCCTTACGATACTCAAAATGACTTATATTTAGCCATTACTCTCTCTCTCTCTCTCTCTCTCTCTCTTCTCTCTCTCTCTCGTCTCTACTCTCTCTTCCTCTCTTCTCTCTCTCTCTCTCTCTCTCTTCTCTCTCTCTCTCTCTCTCTCTCTCTCTCTCTCTCTCTCATCTCTCTCTCTCTCTCTCTCTCTCTCTCTCCTCTCTCTCTCAAATATTTAAAACCTAAGATTTTTTTTTCTTTCCACCCAGAGCACCACTGTGAGCTCTCCACTGTAACTCATCCCTTTCTTTTTTTCGTTTTTTTTTTTTGCAAATAATCCCAAAATATGTTTCATAATTTGATGTTAGTTATTGTCGCCATAATATGAGATTTATTATTATCCATATCTGAAATTTTTTTCTAGTGTGTTTTATGTATTTTGAGATATTTATGTTGAAAGAATAGTAGATCTACTCTTCCAATAGGAAGAAGAAATTTAAGCTCTCTCTCTCTCTCTCTCTCTCTCTCTCAAAATTTAAAACCTAAATTTTTTTTTCTTCCACAGGGCACCACTGGTGAGCTCTCACTGTACTCATCCCTTTCTTTTTTTCGTTTTTTTTTTTTGCAAATAATCCTCAAATATGTTTACATATTTGAGTTATTGTCGCATAAATATTGAGATTTATTATTATCCATATCTTGAGATTTTTTTCTAGTGTGTTTTATTATTTGGATAATTATGTTGAAAGAATAGTAGATCTACTCTCCAATAGAAGAAGAAATTTAAAGGTAATCAGATCGGACTTATAGAAAGAGCATAGAGTTGAACAGGCCATGAATAGCCATCAAGTGGAGCAAGCAATTGCCTATGACACAAATATTATGTTCTGTCAACTCGATTAAATATTTAAAATCAAAATTGTGTTTTTTTATTATTTGTATAAGTGGTTTATTATTAGACTTCATATATAAATATATAGAAACATATCAATTTGTATCTCATATCTGTATATAGTTTTCAATTAATGAAATTTCTAGTTTCTTCTAAAAAAATGACTTATATTTTAACATAAAATAATCACTTTAAAATGAAGGGAGTAATAATTTAGTTAATTCTTTTATTATTGTATAGAATTAAGGTGAGTCAACATTTTTTTGTTGTTCTTATGAAAAGTAAAAACTTATCGAACGCAATTATCTTAATCAATAAGAGAGTATGAGAAGCGTTTTGCTTTTTAAATTAAAATTTCGTATTCAAATTTGCAATTAGACGGCATAGACATTTTTTTTATCACAATTTGTCGACTTGCCATGAAGAGCCATTTAATAGGTACAATCTTTCGTTGTTTATATCTAATGGCCAATCCAAAAGCAAGCCGCAGATTGTGATTTATTGATAGCGTCCGACTTTTGGAGTTCCATTTTTGATTTTTCAATGGGCAAAATAATAATAAATAGCAGATGAAATAAATAATATTTATTAACATAACAAAAAAAAACGTAATCCCAGTATACATCTGTAAAAAATATAAAGAATAAAAAAAAAAGAAAAAAAAATCAAGAAAAACCGATGAAAGACTCGATCAAGAACATGAAGAAGAAGAGCAAAAAGAACTCTACTAATAATCCAAATCACATTTAGTAGCAGTCTCAGCACCAGAAGCCAATCTACCATCTGCACTGTTCAAAGGAATCTTCAAATCACACTCAATTTTTGGCTTAAACTTTCCAGTCTTGACCTTACCAATCTTGAACCTAATCCTCAAATAAAGCTTCACGTATATACTATAGATTCCACTAGTTTTTTCTTGATTAAACTGAGTCAGCTCTTCACCAGAAAGCAATACTATCCTCTGTCCTTGAAATGATGGGGTAATAATGCTCGTGTTCTTGTGCCCTTGATAAAATGGTGACAATATATGAGAACCGAATCTTTGGTCTTCATAATAGGCTCTCGCCTCAATTCTGTCATAGTAAATTCCAATTTTCTTATTTGGGTTTCGGATTGAGATCGTTGTGGTTAAGTTGTATTGGAGAGTATTGGTGTTGGTGTAGTTGAATTCGGAAAGTACAGCATCTGTGACATGGAATTTGAGTTTGTTCGGGCGAACTACAAGCCAGAAAATGAAGACGGCGAGGCCAACGATTATCACTAAGGTGATTAGGATTTTGAAAAGGCAACTTAAGAGACAGCAGCCGCATCCACAGCCCGACCTACGCCCCGGACGGTGGTAATTATTTGGTGGTGGGATTGCTGGCCCATAATAGGCCCCGTTCAAGGGTGATTGCTTTTCCGCCATCAAGTAAGAATCAAGAAATCAAGAATCAAGTATCAAGAAACAAGAAAAACAAGAAAGAATTAATGATCAAGAAAACAAGAAAGGGTAAAGAAACAAGAACGTCAACGGAGAGAATGGTAAAGAAAAGAGAGGTAGTAGGAGATATGGAAGAAGAGGGCGAGTGTATGGTTATATATAGAGAAAGATTGAGAGACTGGATGGCTAAGTTAAGCGGTGTGAAATTCAGTTCTGAATGAAAAAGAAGACGCGGAATGGGGCCGAGTCAATTGACGCGGTTGCTTGATCGCTTGCTTTCTGGGTTTTGGTTTGTGTTTTGTAGGCGATATTGTATTAACCCGGTAATTTCCTTGTAGAGGACGTGGTATTAATAACGATTGATTGTGATGGATGATGCTTGGTAGCTTCGATCTGCTGCCATTGACTTGTGTATAAATATATGCATGATTTCCCTTTTCAATTCAGGACAAATGTATGTTTATCGACTAGTATTATATTATTGTTTACGACTTTTCAAATTAAATGTTCGGACTATTGTGCAGGTTGCATTAGTTGCTTTCCACTATTTTTTAATGCCAAGTTATGTCAAACAACTCCATTTTCAGAGAACACGACACCAGTTTAACCGCAAGATTACAGAAAAATCCATGGATTCATGGGAGTGAAAAGAAAGATTCAAAAATCGAAATTTCTGATCCTCCTTAATAAAGAAAATTCTCGTTAGCAAATTTTCTCTTATAAACTTGATGTAGAGTGAGCATGATTACACTTAGCTCAATGAGCTAGGTAAATTTATGATATAAACAAAAAAACAATTATAGCAAAATATATGTTATATAGGGCAGAATTGGGTCATAATTTATGTAAAAATATTAAACATTTACTTGGATATGAGTATTTTTTTTTAGAAGAAGGAAAATAATTATAAAAAATATATTAAAGAAATGTATTTTCTTATTTAAAAAAGTGAAAAATATTATATTTATTTTCTATCCAAATTCACATGTCTTGAATTATTCCAATTTAAATAGAAATAATAATGAAATCTATTTTTTTTATTAAATTTCACTTATTTTATGAAAAGCTTGATAGATATGGAAGGAATAGTCATAGGCTCGAAATGAACACGGAAAACAAGGAGGCTCAACGGGCATCACGCCTGTAATTTATGGTGGGACCTCATACTGTATGACAGAAAAAATAAATACTAATTTATGTATAGTAATTTGACTAATTTCATTTCTTCAAGAAAAAAAAAAAGACTAATTTCTTATATTCAATAAATATTGGATTTGGTCAATGAATTAAGCCTCATTTTTTGGATCAAATTTAGCCCAAAATGAGCCCTAAAAATTTTAGGCCCAATTTGATCCAAACGGGTTTGGATTTGAGTCAAAAATCAAATCCGAAGACACCTTTTAATTTAACTATTTTTGGAAAAAAATAATTACCATGTCATAAATTTCTAGAACCCTATCGAGTTTAGGTGAAGGTTAGGTAAATTTTGGAATTGGTCTCGTAGGAAAATGGAATGAAATTCTACTTGTAAAGAAACTAGGAATAATAACAGTAATCTACAATTATAGTAATTACAAGCAATCACGTTGAACAACAATAATAATAACAATTAAAAAAGAAATTACAGTGAAATGAATGGTAGACCTAGCAAATCATCCCTACCCTAGTGGTAAGGGTAATGCTCTTGGTCCCAGGTTGGATGTTTAACCATGTAACATTTACTTTTTTTTTCTCTTAAACTTTCAAATTATTGTAACTGCTGTCGATATTGCAGAATGTAGAAAATTCATTATATATAAAATCGTTTGACCTGGGTAACTCAGACATTTTTGTTTTGAAACTTAAATATATTGACACCTTAAATTCAAAAGTGAACTAAGATTTTGAATAAAATAATATATTAAGGGGACTCATTAGTTATAATTGGATTAACTTAACCCAAGAAACTAAAACTCACAGTTTTGTTAAGGAAACCCCGACACTTTGTGGATCTCAAAATACATTCTCCCTCCAAGGATCTCGTTGTAGCATCCCTTTGCAAAATCTCATTTCCCAAACAAGTTTGATTCAACAAAAATGCAAGTTCTTTAGCCTCTATTATTGCCGACCATGTATATACAGCTTATGGAAAGCTTTTTCCGTTGTGTCTCCATCCCTTTCTTTCTTGGTTCTTTTAAGGAATTTTCTACAGCTCGAGGATCAGCTCTTGACCCTCTATAGGATGGCTCGAACCTAATTTCTGGTGATATTTTATCGTCTGATCCAACAATGAGAACCGGACTTCACCGAATAAAGAAATATGAGTTGGTCCATTGTGGAAATCGCACTTGAGAAGTTGTAAAAAAGTTCCATCTAAAGATTATCCCATATTTGAATTTTCTTTTAAAATGATGTATTTATTTTATAATTTCTCTCAAATTTGTCATGCCATTTAGTCATAAATGGCTTTATTTTACTATGCATTTATCATTCATATTTCATCGCTTATTTTGAGTAGTTACTTTGGAAGCACGTACTTGTCAAACTTTAACAAAACATATATGAGAAGAGAAATGTTTGAAGAATCAAATGATGAATCAATGAGTCTCATTAATATATTATTTTATTTAAAATTCTATCTCACTTTTGAATTTAGGGTGTAATATATCTAAATTTCAAAATTGGAGTGTCCCGGTAACGAAGACCAAATTAAAGTAATTTTTATTGCACTAGAGTGATTTTGCGACAAGTCGTAAAGTTCATGGTAATTTGATAGTTCAAGCCTTTTGTACAAATCACTTCTAATACTCACCTATTCATAATTTGATATCTGTAAAAACTTCATCTTTCACGATTTTAAATATTGTAAGATCTCACTCTCATCTTTCACTCGAACAGTTTTTATTTAAATTTGATCGTCTTTTAGTACTCAATAGAAAAAATATATTAACAGTGACAATAATATAATTTTATGACCTTCCTTTTCACAAGCTCACTCTTTGAAATTAACAATCTATACACTAAGAAAATCAAACAGACAGTTGCAGTTCTTCTAGACTACATAAAAGTCTAAAAATTTCCTTATGGCTACACGTGTGAAAAGAAGCACAGAATGATAGGGGTGATGCCCTGACCAAGAAGAGGTCCCAGGTTTGATTTTGATTTTACACAATTAATTTTAATTTGTATTCTTTCCCGTAGTAGGTTTTATATGAGTTTTGTAATGGATTGTACTATTATTGCAACTACTGTCCTCCTCAGGGCACAATATAAAAAGAAAGATTCATTGTATATAAAAAAAAAAAAAAAAAAAAAAAATTGCCCAATTACTGTCCTCCCAGGGCACAATATAAAATTGAAAGATTCATTGTTATAAAAAAAAAAAAAAAAAAAAAAGCTGACTCTTACCAAAAAAAAAAAAAAAAAAAAAAAAGCTGTCTACCAAAATTTTAGTGTAAGTTGTTTGCTTTGCATTGTTTTCGCTTTAAGATTTCCCTCTCTTGCTTTTAGCTCAAGCCTAATGGGGAAATATTATACATTATACATTTCACAATTCAAAAGTTTTGGTTTAGTTCATAAACCCGCGTGGCTTAAGGGGCGCAAAAGTGAACACTACAATGAACAATACTCGCTCCATTTTCTTTTAGTGTTTTATAATTTTCAAATTTCCTTTGAAGTCAAAATATATGAAATTTTAGCATTTGTTAATTTATAACATATTATTAAAAAAAATATAAAAAATAGATGAAGGTTTCGGTTCGTTTATGGAGAACGTTGAAAAGCTAGCCATTTTCGGACCATGCTAATTGCCAGAAATGGGCCTGAGCCCATTCTATTCGGCAATTAGCGGACCTGTCGTTTGACAATTGCGACGAAAATGAGAGGTTGTTCTTGGGACGAAGGTGAGCCCATTTGGTGTCTTTCCCACCTTAATATGTTATGGATTTAGTTTGGAAAAGCAATTACAATTTCATTTTGCATTTGTATATTGCTTAACTCATTTTCAAATAGTGTCTAATCTTATATTCTCTATGTCTACGAGTATAAATCGTTTAAAAGTAAGTTTTTTGTCCATAATTATACATCATTTTGAGAATATAAAAGAGTACCTAATTAGCTTTTTCTAATTTTATTCTTCTATACATTAAACATATTAATTATAATTATTCATAATGTGAGATAAAGAGTAATTTAGTGAATTTTTTTATTATAATTTAGGAAAATTAATTTATTTTTTTAATTACCTTACAAAAATCTTAAACGACTTATATTTGTAGACGGAGGGAGTAAATAATTACTATCCATTTAATAATCAAATTTCCATTTAAAAAAATTAGTGTAAAATTAATTGAACGATCATTGCATATTAATTGACTAGCTTTTTTTTTTTTTAAAAAATATTGGAGAGCGAGATTTGAACCTAGTTCTATTACCAAGTTGTTGTCATTGTGTGCAATTAACTAGCTAGGTGGATTCAACTTAACACTAGACATTTTTCAAATAAAAATTTATTTGATAAGTCTTTTTTTTTTTTTTTTTCCAATTTTTACACAAATCTTCATTAATGAAATTTTTTTTTTTTTTTTTACACAATCTCATTAATGAATCAAGTACGATTTATCTCAATTCTTAAATTTTATCTATTTTTTATATTAAGTAAAGTTCAATATGAGTTTTTGTCATTCAACTTTATGGGCGCATAGTTGATTTTATAATTTTTCCAATTAATTCCCATTTATTTGTGCATTATTATATATTTTATAAGTACAAGACCTCTAATGGCTAACTTTTTCCCTCTATTGCATTACAACCGTATAGTAGTAAACTAGTAATTCTATGAAAAACAGTTTACCTTTTTATAGATTCAATAATTTTATAGTAAAATATATGAATAAAAAACACTAAATGTGAATATTACTCCTTCCATAAAAAAATTCTTTTGATATTAAAAAATATAAATAAATAAAAAATTGAGAGCATATATAAAATAAAAATATAGTAGACCAGATATATATAATAAATTTAATAGCTTTAATAAAAAAATTTTCTCCTATTAATAATTGTAAAAAATACTTTGTCATATATTTACAAAAGTTTTACTGTGTATTTATGGACTTTTTGTTGCAAATAAAATAGGAGTTCGTGGGCAAAAAGAAAATGCAATTTTATATAAATAAAATAAATTTTTAGAAAAAGTAAATAAAAAAATATATTGAGCAAATAGAAATGAAATAATAAGTAATTTTGCTAAATTAAAAATGAGAAATTAAAATAATGAATTTTATTCGATTACTCTCTGTTCTTTTATGAGAATTTTTTAATTATGTTTTACGTGTCAAATTGTTCTTCCTTTTCTTTCATGTCCTCCTTTGACTTGTTTGCAAGGAAGATGACAAGCTTAGTGAAATGATTAAACCATCCGTCTTCTCTTTGTCATCATTGAAAATTAATCTTCTATTTAGAATAGGACCATTATAATATATATATATAGTCATATTTCAAATCACCATTCACTAACTTGTTACATCTTTTTCACTTTGTACAGTGAGCATTATTAACAGAGAAGACTATCACTTAATAAAAATTTACTGGCTCTGATTATATCTTGCTTGAATATCGCAAAATTTATATAGAAATGATTTTTTCAGCGTGATAATTTTTAGTTCCAGCTATCCCAATCCAACTAATATTGATATTGTTTTAATTTTTAATAAGATAAAAGAAAAATTATCTACTTATGAAAAGAATTATTTTATATACTCTTTGTATTAATTAACGTATAATGTACCAACACTCACAAATTAATCTATGGATAATGCTACTTAGCACAGTTTGAGATAACTCAAGAGGGACATTTTTGAATTTTACTAATTGTATTTACATTTCATAATTTTCTATTAATTAAATGTTATTATGTAAAGATGTAAACATCCTTTGCTGTAGATGGGGAATTATGATAATTAAATTTGAAATTCAAATTATTTATTGATTCTTAAGCAGCATTTATTGTGTTTAATTAGTTTTCAATGCAATGACTTTTTTTAGTTCCAACAACTTTTTATTAGTGAATTAATTATGATTAAATATTTAATTAGTATTTCAATTGTTATATATGTATATATATTTGAGTTGATTTTGTTCTATATATAAACGAGAAAGATGTACTATTAAAAATTCTAATATTTGATATAAGTACCATTAATAATTATGATTTATACTTTAAAGAGCTATATATATAATCTCTAGTCTAACGAACTAATTATATATATATTTTAACTATGATTTATACATTAAAGAAATAAAATATAATTATTGAGATTGTACATTAAAGAAATAAAATATAATTATTGAGATTGAAATCTATTTTTTATCATTATTAGGTTAGATGTATACTTTAAATTAAAGAAAATAAAATGAAGGTATAAATATTTCAATTTATCTAAGATCCTTAAAGAGATAGATGATATGTTCTAAACATTAGAAAAAAAAAAATCATTTTTAAAAATAATTTCAATGTGAAAATATTAAGTAAATATATCTTAGAATGTATATATTTGCCAAAATTAAATAAAAGTCTTTAATGATAACTGAAATCAAGAATTATTAGTTAATCAAATTTAATATCAAAAAAAAAAAAGTTAATCAAATTAGAAAATTATATTAATTAATTCCATAACTCACATAAATATTTTATTTTAATCATTGCTCATATTATAATTTATATATAAATTTATATTTATGTATTTTATTTAAAATTAGAAAATTATATTAATTAATTCCATAACTCACATAAATATTTTATTTTAATCATTGCTCATATTATAATTTATATTTATTATTTTATTTAAACGAAATTAAGAATTTCCATTCGATTGATATAAATATTATAATAATATGTACTATAATCTACATGGTATAGATTTATTTATAATTTAAAAAGATAAATGTTCTTCTTTAATTAATCTAATTATAATCACAAAGACTTTGTAGCTAATCAATCCATAACATTAGAAATGCTAATTAATTCAATTAAGTATATCATAGGTGTATGCTTAACTTGAATTACTCTTCTAAATAATTAGTAAAATATTTCTACTTAATTGAATTACTCTTTTAAATAATTAGCACTTCTTCAAATTATTAACATTATAAACTTTTATATAATCAAATTCATTAGTGAATCATACTTAATTTGATTAAGTATATCGCCTATTTTTGTTTAATCGAATTACTCTTATAAATACTTTGAACTAAAATTAAAGATTTTTTATTTAATCAAATTAATTAGTGAATTATACTTAATTTAACTATTTACATTTAAAAATTCTTTTTAATATGATAGCTCGTATTAGGTTTTACTTAATTAACTCATATGTATTTATGTATTAATATGCATTATAATATTTCTGAAATTAAAATATAATTTTTTTGAATTATTTTTATATGAATTAATGAAAATTTCAAATTACTAAATAATTATTTTTTTAGAATATAGAAAAATTATGTGTTGAATTTAAGCACGTTGAATTAATTTGTATTTTACATGAAAAGTTTTGATTATTTTTTTACAATTTTTGATTTTGTATTTTAATTTTTATCATGAATTAATTCAATTAAAAAACAAAAAGAGAGGGAGAAAGATAAATTATTGATTTGCTGGTTCAAACAAGTCATAATTATTCTACTGTACGATGGGGCAATGCATTGTATCTGCAAATCACATCCTCTTTTCGTACAAATCCTAAATAATCAAATATCATCGATCTATAATAATCACTTACCAATAATGTTTGGTCAAGTCACGATCTAATGCACATGGCCACTGTATGTGTGGAAGTGGAGATGCACCGCGCTTCATACATATATTGATGTTGAATTTATGTATTTCAACCGATTATTTATCGCATAATATAAAAAAGATTTAAATTTTATTACTTTCTTTTTCCGTATATATAAACTCATTTTCTTTTTTCATTTATTTGAAATATATGTAGATGTATAGACACGTGTGGTGATTGGACTAGACTGTGATTAAAAATAAATGCAAGATGAGAGATCATTTAGACTATTTTTATTTAAGAACACAAAACATTAATGTCTCTTTCTAATATGCCATTATAAAGTAGGTAGAGAGCTGGTGATGAGTGAAACTTGGAAGGGACCTCCACTAAACCATGTGTGTGACTGTGACGTAGATGATTCCACAAAACCTCAAATAACATTCACATTAATTCTATTTTAATTAATAATTAATTACTCCAACCATTCTTCAACTCTTTCATGCTCAATTTCTACTTATAAATTTTACACTATTACCAAACTTATTTTTATATTAATGAGATTCGAAATCTATTGTATATTTAAGTTATAAAATATAATATTTTTTATCGTAATTAGAAATAATTTTATATCAGTTTATTATGCATTAAATTAAACTAATTTTTTATTTAGCGGTAAGATGTAAAGTCCTACCAGTAATAATGATTTTATAGATAAAAATTAACTTAAAATATATTTCTCTCTTATTAATCTAATACTATTAAATTTATAAATTGAATTTTCCTGGTCTTAAGTATATGTTAGGTGGGGAGTTTCTTTTGAAGTTAATACACATACCACAACAACGTTCATATCCATTTATAGGTGGGCCAACATGCAAGAACACACATGCAATATGTATCTAATACGATGTGTTTTATTAGATTATTGGTTTTTTTTTTTTTTTTTTTTTTTTTTTTTTGAAAAATTAATTCTTCGGTTGTTACTTGTTAGTCTGGCCCGTCTGGGCTTTTTTTTTTTTTTTTTTTTTTTTTTGAAAATTAATTCTCGGTTGTTACTTGTTAGGTCTGGCCCGTCTGGGCTTCTATTATGGGACTTCTAAACTTTTTCTCTTTGTTTTTTGCAGTTCCATTTGCAAAATGGTCATTTGTACTTATGACAAAATTTTCCATACAGTTCCCTGAAAGGGCAGATCTTTTGTGTCCACTCCCACATATGAAAACATTGATTTTCTTTTTCTTTTTTCCTTTACTAATTTCTCTAGAGAATGCCAATGAAAAGAAATAAAATACAAATATCATAAAATTTAGCGCCAATTTATACAAATAATAAGCTAATTGCAATTAATTATTTTATGATATATTAGGTTTGAGTCGAGCTCATAGTTTGAGTTTGAGCTCAAATTTCACTGTATATATATATATAGTTTAAGGATCCAACACCAATAGAATAGTATAGTATGAATATATAAAACGAAGGAAAGTGACTTCACAACCTCCACTAGACACTCGTTTGTTATCTATCAATTACAATTTAATAATTCCACGTTCTAATTAATTAATAACCTCATCAAAAATGCAATCATCAGATTTTTTTTTTTAAAAAAATGCATAAAATAAATAAAAAAAAAAAAAAAATTGAAGTTAACTTGAAAAGATTGTAATTTTGGCTATTAATCAATCTGCCTCGTCTGCTTTTCTCCTTCCATTTATTAACTTTAGGAAAATGTACATTTCAAAGCCTTCATTATGCCACATACAGAATTATATAAATCTAAAAATAGAGACGGCCATCAGTTTCATAACACATCAACTAAAAAAAAGGAGAAAATTAAGTATTTAAATAATATAAAAAAAAAAAAGAGAAGAAGAGAAAATACTTAACGGCGTTACATGTCAATTCTCTTCTTTCTTTCTTCCTTTCTTTCTTCTGCTATATCTTCAAATGCTTACACTGCAACTTACCAACAGCGAGTACTTAACGGAGTTCTCACCGACAATAATTCCGGCAGTCCTACTCCCGAACTGTATATAAGCAGGACATCTAACATACAAATGATACTTTCCAGAAATGAAAGTTCCAACTTTAAATCTCACCCGTCCATCCATTTTAATCATCAGCAACACCGTCCCTGCAGACTGATCTTGATTCAGTGCGATGGCGTTGTACGGAGCCACCGGAATTGCCGTACCATAAATATTAGGTGACCAGACGTTGATTTCTTTATGACCTTGATAATTCGGCGGTATTGCTGATCGGAGAGTGATCTGCTGGCTCCTGTAAGTTGCATAGATGTCAAGCCTGTCATAATAGATTCCGATTTTGTCGTTTGGATTACGGCTGGAGAAAGTGACTTGAAAATTGGAGGTAAGAAAGTTAGGGACAGAGGCGTTGAAGGCATAAACGGTGACGTCTTGAAGAACAAAACTAGGCTTGCTAGGACGGAGAACGGCCCAGATTATGAGGATAGTGACAAGGACTAAGAAAAGGAAGATTAATATACCGGCAAAGATCCGGCGGAAGAGTTTCCGGCGTTTTTCGCCGTGGTTGCCGCAGTCTTTGGCGGACATGGTGGTGAGAAGGTGAAGTGATAGTGGAAAGAAGAGAAGATGGTACGAGGGAAAACGTTGAGTTAATGAGAGGCTTTGGTATTATAGAGAGAGATGAGGTGTGGAATGGAGCCCCTTTCTTTTTGTGTATCAACGAGTGTGGGACGGTGCCGTGTCACGAACGCGTTACTAAGGTTAATATAGTAATTTGCGTTATGGTCTCTTTTACACACAAATTAATTAGGTTTATAGTAGTAGTGAAATCTGAATTTAACCTTGATTTTCGACACTTTTTACTAAGGTAATTAATATGATTATGAAGTATGTTAAAGGTAGACTTAAACTTTTTAATTTTTTTACAGTATTAGGAACAATTAAACCGATTAAACTAAATTTGAATAAACTTTTTATAAACATATATAATTAAAAGACAGAAAAAAAGCTGAGGATTCAAACTCATATATAATTTCATACTATTTGAAATATTGAAGAGAATTCAATAAAAATTTATGACATTTAGCGACCTAAAAATAAATAAATAACAAAAATAAATATTTTCTTTTTTTACCTTTTCCTTTGAGAAGTAATGGATATTTTTCCCCCTAATGGTATCTCTAGCAACTACCGTACACTACAAGGGAACAAAAGGGTTAATTATGATTATTCTAGTAATCATTTTATCTTAAAAGAAAATTAATGAATGAGAAGGTCACTTGTTAATCATTGGGATTTAGGAGCTCCCTAGCTGACTGACTAAACACTAAACAGGAGAATCCCTTTGTGGTGAAGGAAGTAGTAAAATTGAGTACATCCTTCCAATACCAAACCAATTAAAAAATTATTATTTTTTTATTTTTTTCTATGATAGTCAGAAAACCATATTTAAAATATTATTTGTGATTTGTTTAGTGGATAAATAAATTTATGCGCAGGATTTAAATAAACCTTTCTGATTTATGTACATATTTTACATTTTTTATGAGATTATGAGGAAACAATCCATTTTCCGGTTTATTGATTAATAAAATTTATAAAAACTAAAAAGATGAAAATAGATTAATGAAAAAAATAAATAAAATTTCAACAGTCTGAATATACTTTGATAAAAGATTAATCACATTTTATGGTTATTTTAGACTTGGAACTTTACTTGCATCGTATCTTATTATAAATAACATAGGAGTATATACGAAATAAATAATTCATTTACTTTTTAATTTCATCACCGTTGGATGAAATGTTAAGGATATTGGGACCCACTTACCATGTTGCACAAGTATCACAGCTCATCCTATCATACTGGCCCCACTGCTTTTGGGGTCGTTCTGGTTCTGGAATATACCAACCAAAAAAAAAAAAAAAAAATCTGGTTTCTGGAATATACCAACCAAAAAAAAAAAAAAAAAAGGTTACGTGGCGCAAGGAAAAAGCACCTTCTGTTGCGAAAAGAAAAAAAAAAAAAAAAAAGGTTACGTGGCGCAAGGAAAAAGCACCTTCTGTTGGAAAATTTCCAATAATCAAATTATTATTGCTCCAAAGTGCACATCTTTTTTCTCTTCCTACTTTTAGCTTAAAAAGCTCATTACCTTTCCTATGTTTATACATTACAACTTTGCGTCTCTTGCACAAATGATATTTGAACTAGGGGTACAAATTAATAACTTGAACTATTAATAATATGTAATATGTTTGAATTATTATATTTGAACTAAATCTATAATTGAATTAATAGATTAAATTAAATGTCTTTTTAATAATATAAAAGACGACAGAAATTTTAAATTCTAACCGTTTATCTCTTTTGATTATTTAAAAAAAATAATTAAAAAACAAATAGCGAGTAATGATCACCAGTTATCCCTTTTATAAAGTGCATAACTTGTGAATTACATTTTGATTATACATATAATAATTAGTTAAATGAGAGGTGCGTTGGTTGGTAAAAGTAGAAGACCTATAAGAAAAGTAGGAAAGCAGGAAGAAATTAAGTAATTGCAAGTCCCATTATCATAATAAAAAAGAAGAAAAACTTTTCGCAATTCCCAAAAACTCCTTTTCCCATTTTTATATATCTGTGATTTATTGACCAACTCTATTAGAACCTATGTTTCCAAATCAAACACACATCCTCTTCCGGTCTTCCCTCTCTCTCCGTCATTTGTTTCCCCTTTTTAATATATTAAATCAATATAAAAAAAACTTAACGTTACTATTTGTTTTATTGGAAGAATTCATTGCTATAAGCTTGAACTTGTACAAAAAAAGTTAAAAATAATTTATAAATCATTAGATTTAAAATTATTCCAAATAATATTTGCATTTCAATACAATTTTAAATCCAATGGTTAATATATAAAATCGAGCTTATAATACTTTCACCGCTTTATATATATTTAAAGAGAATGGGGAAGATTTGTTTATATTTCAATACAATTTAGGGTTGGCTAGATGTAAATTAGGTACTTTGATTAAAAGGAGATACTTAGTTAATAGAAAATTAATCGTTGCGTGGAATTTTCAAAATGCCGTGTGATTGTGAGGTGAAGTTGACTTGCAATTTACTCCATTGCCATTCGTTATGTGTCGGCACTAATCATCCTTCCAGATCCAATGTACTATCATCTGACACTAGTCTCCGTCTCAGGATTGTGAAAATACTGAATTGTTTACATTACATGTATACAAATACATGGGTAAACTTTCCTGACTAAATTTGACTTTTATATATTGTATTTAATTAAGTAGTTTATCTCTTAATTAATTAATTTGAATTATTAAACTGCAGTGTAAATAATTTATTTGAAGTCTTACTGTTTATAATATTATATGGTTAGTACTTTAGTATCAGAAATTCTAATGTGAACTGCAGAATACAGCTGTCTTCATGATTAAAAAACCTATGTTGTAATTAATTATAATAACTTTTGTAATCATAAAAAAGACAAGGATTAGTTTGTTATTTATTTAATTAGCTACCTTTTTCTTTTTCTTTTTTTTTTTAATTCTATATAAATTTTTGTTAATTTTCATAGCATGTGGTTATGTTGGAATGTACAAATATAGGAGAGTGAAATGAGGGAAAATGATTGAAAATGACAAGAGAAAAAAGAAATAACTCTAACCATCAAAATTGAAGGATGTAGACGAAGTATCAACTTTTAAATATATGCATTGAAAAAAAAATGTTTGATTTTTCTTTCTGAGTGATGTTTGGACAAACAAATTAAATGGCCTCCAAGATAATAAGTTTATATTAGGGATAATTTCTCTTAATTTATATATATAATGTTTTTTATGGGTATTAGGGGAGGAGATTTGAACCTAAGTCTATTGTCAAGTCGTACATATACTTACCACTATTTTATACCTTGGCGTGCATATATATAATGTTTATGTAAACATATAAACATTAATGTAGGGTGTATTGGATTAAGACTTTGTTATATTTTAAAATTCTAATGGTATTCAATTTAAAATTTTTGGAATTTATTAAAGTTTTGTGCTATTCAAGAAAATCTGATGACATTTAATTAATGACTGTTCAAAAGTCCATACAAATTTAATGGTATTCAAAAAATTCCTAATTTGAAAGGATTTAATAAAATTATTAAATCCACTGAATGTTAGAGTGCTAAATATAAATAGGATAGTCATTCACAAATCCATCATCTAACCAATAGTTTAAAAAAATCTTTTAAAATCTAAACAGAGTCTTTCAATATAATCTTTAAGGTGTAAAATAATATATTAATTATTGGATTAACTTCGAATTAATTCATGTGCTGAGAATTTGATATTTTAACAAAAATTAATATTAATGATGCTATAAATTTTTCAGAATTAATTTGATTATTTTTTAAAATTTTTATGGGTTGATTTCAATTAAATATCAACCAAATAAAAATTTGAAACAACTTTTTAAATAGTTGAAGGACCAAAGAACATAACCTGCCATTGTTGTGGCCAGACTGCCAAACTCCTTGAGCCGCAAGCAGCGGGCCATGTATCGAGTCTATCTCGATGTGCATCGCCTCCTTGTGCGAGCTCCGGTAGCCGACAGATGTTCTGGTTGGCGGTGGTTACTATTTTGATTTTAAATTAAAAAATATATATGTATATTTAAACCTATTGACGGAGCTAGATGGGTCTAGAGGTGGCCCCACCCCCTAACAAAATTTATTTAAAATAAAAATCACCCATAAAATATTAAATTTTTTTATTTTATCATTTTAAATTAAAAAATATATATGTATATTTAAACCTATTGACGGAGCTAGATGGGTCTAGAGGTGGCCCCACCCCCTAACAAAATTTATTTAAAATAAAAATCACCCATAAAATATTAAATTTTTTTATTTTATCCATTAAAATAGTAAATTTTTTCAATTTTGGCCCCTTAACTCTTGAAATTTTTTTTAGTCTCCCCTAACTTTAATTTCTAGCTCCATCACTGTTTAAATACGGTCGACTTTCAGTCAAGAGATTAGAAGCCCTTTGCACCGCATCGTGAATGTTATAGGAGTGCGGGATGACTGACGACAATGTTAGCCATTGCAAGCCTTTCACTATCGGCGGCGGTAAATTTTAATGAAGAAGAAAACCATTTTGGAGAATATGACGCATTTTGCTTTTTGGTCTCATTGTTTTTCAATTTTTCAATTGGGCTAAAAAACCTTTTAATTTGTTCAACTAAGACCTGAAATTAATTTTGATTGGATATATAAAAATTATTTATAATTGCATTAAAGTCAATCAAAATTTGTAAAAAAAAGTCTCACTAATTCCATACAACTCTATGTAGAATTCTAGTGAAATATGTAGAAATCTTAGAAAATTCTTCAATTCCATCAAATTCAACGATTCTTTTAAAATTGAACACGATTCTAATCAAACATACTCTTATAAATAATTTATTTTGAATTATATTTATGTATGGTCCACGTAAATTTGGCTCATGAAATTAATCTATTGTTAACAAATTAATGCCAAAAACAAAAGTTTGTCGTATTTTTTTGTGTTACATACGGACGGAAAAGAATCCTTCCTTATAAGAGTACATGTCACAGAGTAGCTTGAAAAAGGCCTGCTTAAAAATTCAGTATGTGATTCTAATAAAAGGGAAAGAAAA